ATATGTATTTATATGCGGTCATGCATTTATTTGAGTCCCTACAAATGTGCATATATGTGTAAATACATATGTATGTATGTACGTCTGCATATCTATGAATATTTATATTTATTGACTTTTTTAATTGTTTGCTAAGGCATTAATTATGTTTACTTACTTGTATACATGCAGACACAAATTGTATGCCTACATGTGCACATACATACATACATATGTAGTTACATACATATATTTATACACAGCTCCATATGCACCCTCAGAAAAAAGTTTGTAGCAGCATGATTTCTCTCCCTTTTTCCTTTTTACGAGTTGTAAGTATGTGCGAATATCTTTACTGCGCAGGTACAAATAAATTCATTTTTCTAGTAACTTCTCAAACGTAAACTTTTACGTTGCACTCTCTTCCGTGGCGTTGTTGCTGCTGTTTCCTTATTTGGTAAAATACTCATAAACGTTAATCATGGCCAACCAACACACCGTTTCCATTGCAGTAGAAGTTTTCACTGTTATTTCTTAACTGCTATGTAAAACTTTCGAAATAAGTGAGCAAATGTAAGGAGAGATTTTCACAGGATGTGAGAGCTGGAATGAGAGGAAAATCCTTCCAAACTAACTAAAATGTATGAATGTATATGTATGTGTGTATACGATGTTACCCTGCAAAAAATTGTGCGACTAATCTCTAAAGAGAGTATTCCGAGATTACTCTCAATCGGGTACAATTGGGCATTAATTAGTCGCAACTAGTCTCATACGGGTGCTAATGGAGGTCGATTAGTCTCGACTCATCCCTTATGGGTATAATTGGAGATCAATTAGTCCCCAACTCATCTCTGACGGGTACTATTAACGATTTAATGATATGTACGCTCTTAGTCAATGAAATTTCATGTGCGGCGTTGGCACACAGAGAGAGTATTCGCCTAACAAAACTGAGCAACCCGGTTCGAATCTCAGCTGGCGCAAATTTTTATTTTTATTTTTTAAAAGTGACTAGTTGCTTTTTATACCCTTTCGGGTATAAATGTGAACAATTAGTCTCTTCATAGGACATGCCCGAACAAAAGCGATCAGTTCATTCCATATAAACAGATCAAAAGTGGTATTAGTCGCATGCTCCTTTGCGATTGCTCCCGGAGTCATCCCGGATTAGTCCCATTTTTTGCAGGGTATTGTCACAGTTGCATACTCATAGGGAAAAGCCCATAAAACTTTGCGACGTATACCACAGCTGCCGGATTCCTGTTGTCACATAGAAGTTGTGTTTGGTGCTGGTTTAGCCGGCGCAGCTTTTTTTAGTCCAACAGTCGGAAATTTCAGCTTCAACGACGATATACCCGACAACGTACCGAAATATAGTAGTATGTAGTACCTGCTTCTAGCATAAAAATATTCATGAAGCTAAAAGGCAGTCGTCGTTAGTAAATGAGAAACTAAACCGACCGTGTCACAATCCGAAAGACCCAACCTTGACTCGGACTTGTTGCAGAGGTCGTACATCAATACAATACAAGTTAGACCTCGAAAATCACTACAAACAGCAAGCAACTTCGCTCCCATAAATGTGACGCTGTGATCGGCCGCAACGCGAACCACATGAGATCGCTACCGGGAGTTGAGAAAGACAGAGTGTCCTATTATTCGAAGGAAGACGGGGAGAAGCGAAATACGTGGGCGTGAAAAGCTTTGAGCTGTTGGCGATAGAAATAGAACACGAAAATTCTATCAGAAAATGCGAAGACTTTTAGAAATTTTTAGGACCGGATCGAATTCTTGTACGCAAAAAAAATTAATAATTGAGTTTAAGTGTGTCCTGCCCGATCCACAAATACGTTCACAAAGGGAACGTTCTCTGCAATTTCAGTGCATTGATTCGGCATCTTGTCCTCAAAAAGAAACTCTTTCCTCAATCTCCAAATATGTGACATCTGTTTTACAGTAGCTGCCTTCACCGTACGTTGTTTGATGGGCGTACGGAAGTAGCTCCTTGGAATTATTTCTGTAAAAGCTGCAGGGGTGAGGATGAGACCATTGACAGCGCAGGCCAAACAAGCCTTTTCAGACCAAGCCATGAATCTTTCCCAGATTAAATGGATTTTGCAATTGGGAGTTGACAGTTCTAGTTGTGTGCTCGTTTCGAGTAGTTACGAGCAAAATATAGCTCAAGGCTTTGTAAGCTTTCTTCAGATTTTATGTGAACGTGTACGGAGTAAAAACTATATCTGGTCACCCACTGGTCTGGAAACTCCCCAGAATTTTGATAACCTGTAATAAAAATACATTGGCAATAAATTTGTTCCTAGCATGCCACGCCTGCTGCTCTCTATTTAGCCAGACGAGTTGCATAGAGTCTCACAGGAAACAAATTTTGCAAATTTACTGCCATGACGCAAATACAATTGCATTATCCTTCAATAGAGTTCAGTTCAATGCCAGTTCAAACATACATAATTGAAAATTATGGTGCAATAGTTGCTGGTCTATGTCCCTGAGATGCGATTTCCTGAGGCTATGCGCTAACACATACTTTTGTATGTACGTTTGTATATACTATTTATAACTTTGTGTTTGTCCTCAAAAATGAAGTTTGCAGTTTCTTCTTAAAGCGTCGAAAACAATAATAGCATTGTCGTGAAGGTTACCATTTACATGAAGGTCCGACATACATACATATGTATGTACATATATTTGCCACTAACCTCGGCAGCAGGCACAAGTATGTATGTTTTTGTTATTGGGTGGGCAAAAAAGAGACATTGAACTTTACACCACAGCTGTTTTTTGCCCAACTTCCCTTTGGCAATATGGGCACGAACAAGTTTTACAGGCAGTTAACAGGTCCTCCGTCAATGCTTTCATATGCACCTATGCACATACATATATAATATGTACATACACATGTATATACATATGTTTGTATGCTTGTTTCTACTATGCGAGGGTTGCTTCTTAAGTCTGGGCAACACTGAGCTGTGCAAGATTGGTTCGACTATTGCTGATGAAGCACCACACTCAGCGACCGTAAATCGATGTTTTAATCAGGGGTTGCGCGTAGTCATAGTTCTCCTTAAGCCGCGTTTTGTGAAAGTAGAAGAATTCCTCATTGGATGTCATTGCGATCAGCATACATTGAGAAAGACAAATCGCCGAAGTAAGTTCATCTTTCTCCATCACAGCAATTCCCACAGATTCTTCTTCTCCTTCTTCTTCGACTTGAATCTCATTGATTTCTTCTTGTTTTCATACTTTAAGAAAAAATGCAAAGTGAGCATTTTTCTACATCGGAACAAGTCGTCAAAGCCTACAAATATCTGGTATCGGAGGTACCTACTTCAGAGTCGAAAAGCTCTTTCGAAAAATGACGAAAAATTAAAGAAAATGCGTTTTGAGCGTGGTTTCACTCCCGAACGAGCAGTTGATGCAGTAAAAAACCTGATTTTGGCTAAGCTATTTCAAAAAGTAGTTCAAACAAATTTTAAAATGGCGTAATTATTGCCTTAGAGACTACTTTTCCTTTCAATCAGAGACCATATCGATTAAATCATTGGACTTATAAAAAACCAATTTTTGAAAAATACTAACTTTAATCGACAATTTTTGCTTTTAAGAAAATTCTAATAGCGAAGTTAAATATTTAAATGTACCGCTGAGCCTGAAACATACCTAAAGATCCAGATTTTTTTTTGGCTGCTTAATTCCTCCAACAGGGTGATAAGGTCTTTTCGAAACAAATTTCCGTCATCCCTGATTCCGAAGATGGCACAACGCCGAAACCAGTTTGTCTCCAAACAAAATTTGACAAGGGAAGGCGATTCCGAAAAAATTTCGAAAGGTCACAATTCGAAAAAGTTCTGAAAAAAAATCGTGAAACATTCCGAAAAGTCACCAAAAGAAATCCGAAACATCCAGAAAGCCCTAAAGGCTCTTAAAACCATGGATAGAACCCCGAAGGATGCCGAATCGTTCTGAAACAATTCCGAAAAGACCGCGAAATTTTCTGAAATGTGCACAAAAATCTCGAAAAGGGCTGTAGAGCTCTCTAAAAAATTCCGACAACATTTCAAAAGTTGCCGAGAAAATTCCAAAAGTCCCGCAAATCCCCGAAAGTTTCCGAAGAAAATTCAAAAAATCAAGAACAAATTCAAGACCTTTGAAAAATTTGGATAAGTTCTGAAAATATCCCGAAAGGCGCTGCCAAAATCTCTAAAAATTCCGAAACATTTTCAGAGTGTCTCGAAAAAATTCCGAAAAACAAGATTCTGGACGCCCGTTAAGGAGGCTGCCAAAAAATGCCTACTGTGTGGAAAGGCGCTGCCAAAATCTCGAAAACTTCCGAAAAATTTTCAGAGGGTCTCGAAAAAATTGCGAAAAAACGAGAGTCTGAACGGCCGTTAAGGAAGGTGCCAAAAAATCCATATTGTGTGGAAAAACTTGCGAAAAGGCCAAAATAAAATTCCGGAATTTCCCGAAAAATTGTCAAAAAGCCCGAAAGGTCCTTAAAAATGTCGAAGGTATCCGAAAAATAAGGAAAGCCCTAAGGAGAGCCTTAACAAGTTCCAAAAAAAAATTCCGGAATTTCCCGAAAAATTGTCAAAAAGCCCGAAAGGTCCTTAAAAATGTCGAAGGTATGCGAAAAATAAGGAAAGCCCTAAGGAGAGCCTTAACAAGTTCCAAAAAAATCTCGAAAAGTGCGGAAAATTGCCGGAACAAAATTTCTTAAGTCCCGAAAAGATTGCGAAAAATCAGGAGTCTGAAGGGTCTAAAAAATTGTATGCAGTTTTATAGCCCCGTTAAATTCTAGTATATTAGAACAAATTTTGAGCAGTTTTTTTCGTTTTTTAAAAAACCTAAATTCAACCCTCGTATGTTGGGCCATAAGTTAGCATAAGCTGCAACGCTGCAACATTGTAACCCACTCATGGGCTGCTTTCAAACTTGGCGCAACTACTTTAAAGAGAGCTCGCTCTCTCTCTGTCGGTGTTAAGGACAAACAGCTGTTTGTAGTCACGTTGCAATCTGCATAGTAGTCGTAGCTTACGCTAAATACGCTGTCCACCTTCGTGTCGAGAACACGTTTTGGCAGTGAACCAATGTCGAGCAGGCAGTAGGACGCGTTGGAAGCTTATGGAATAGTTGGTGCATTCGCACTTAATTTCGCATTCAACGCAAGAACAATAATTTAACTGAAATTTATAAATGCATTCGAAAACCAGTTGAAGCCAATAAAACTAAATAAAAAAGCAGTTGTGAGCGTAAGTGTAAATTGTTGAAAAAAGTGACTTCTATGGCATTACCTTTTGTAGAAGTTATTACTGTAGCAGCTAGTTGTTGTTATTGTTGCTGAATTGCTGTTGCTACTTCGCAAGAATCTTTGGAACTTGATGGTCTGCCTGGCTAGCTAAACAACTTTAGTCAACGTGTAAAAGCGGCCGCGGTCGCAACGGTTTAGAGCAGCAAGCGAACGTTTTTTTTTTCGAATTACCAATATTGCCAATAGTGCGAAACAAGCGACAACAGCATTAGCGGTAATACGATTTTTTTTTTTTTGTTTTCTGAGGATAAACTTGGTTGTGGCACCATCAAGCGATTTACCAATCAACCAAGAAAGTTTGTAATGCAACAGTAAGCAATCAATCGACGAGCGAAACGACAAAGTTGTGTTGATGCTGATGCATCTTGGAATGCAAGCGATAAATTGTAATGTATTTTTTGAGGGACTTACAATACGAAAATAAAAAGTGGAAAATTTCAATCAAAGTGTAACTAAAAAAGTGAAGGGCAAACTAAACTCAGCAGCAGAGGCGTGAAATTTTTTTATTAGACATCAAGCGAACACAGTGGGCTCATTCAAGCGAATGAAATGAAGCATAATTGAAAAACAAAAAAAAAAATATTAAAACATAAAAATTGATTAAAAATTACGAAAAAAAAAATTTATTTCAAACTATAAATCGATTGAAAAAATATTAATTAAAAAATCAGACAATGTATAAAAAACACAAAAATTAATCACAGAAATGCATTTGTATGTTTGTGAAATCAATTCGATTGCAGCTGCCCAGCACTTTAGTTTTTCTTTCCGTTTACCATTCGTGTATTTGCTTTGTTGCTTGGGATTTTTTTTCTCGGTAACTTGACCGTGCCACACCGCCACCACCTGGCCAATGGCAGCATATAACCTGCAGGCTGCCCTTTGAACTCCACAATTTTGTTTGGTTTGCCAACCATGTTTAGTTTGGCAGCGGTAGGTTGTGCTTGTGCCGCCCATTTCGTGTTGATTTCCATGTACCTTTTTGATGTCATTAAACTTTGTTGTAAAGTATGCTTTAACTAAATTTCTGATTTTTTGAGATAAAAAAAGCTTAGATAATTTAAAAGCGTTTAAAATTGTACTTTGTTTTTGTTTTTTTGCTCAATATAAGTATGTGCATTAAGGTGCATCACGCACCTTACAAATCTACATTATTTTTAGGACATCCACCTAAATATTTTGGAAATATAATAAGATTTACGTGTGCTGGACCGATTTGAAAATAACTGCAAATATTTTTTTTTTATAAATAAAATAAAAGTTTTTAAAAATATTTTTTTTTCTTCAAAAAAACGCTTCAGATAGAAAAGTTCAAGCCTAAAAGGTGTGCATAAAAATGTTTAACCATTTCATCAACGGAATAAAGAAAAATTAGATCTCAAATCCGTCCAGCTCAATATTTTCCCCAAGTTCTGGAAATCTTAAAATATTATACACTTTCGTTGGAAAGACTTTCTTTGTGAGGCACCCTAATGCACATGCACTCTGATTTGTGAAATAAAACGTTTTTTTAAGAAGAATTTTTAGTTTGTATTTGTGTGCACAAGTTGGATTTGTGAGACGGTGCTATGTTCGGTATTCTAGATGGAGACGATAGCCATTCTTCAAGGTGTAATCTAGGTTATGTCCGACGGGATGTTGATGCCAGAATAGCACTCGGTGGCTACACAGGCCCATTGTGATGGTCTGGAGAGGATTCCAATTCTTTGGCAAACCCAGAAGTTACCTTCAGTGAGTCTGTGTCTAAACTGTCCAGATCCATGAGCAAATGATTCTCGCGAAATCTAAAGCGCATACTTTGAATTCTGGGACAATCGCATAAGAAGTCCTTAACAGATTCCCATTTTTATACTATGTTCCGAATCTCGCAGCTGTGGCTAATAGCCCAGTGGAAGACTATGTGGACGCATAAATTGTATGTAGTACTTTGTATGGGCCAACATGCCGGCTTAGTCGTTGGCGACCCAAGAGCTTTGATCAGGATGCTTTCTACAACAATTGCGAGTTTTGAGGCAACAACGCCAATTATGCTTATCAACGAAAAGCCAATTGAAGAGACCTCAGCCAGAAGCCCTCAGCTTTCCTAAATTATAACCACAAGAAAAATTCGTGCCGATGTTCATTTCGAGTGCATCTGTAAAGTTTGGCATCTCGTCGTTGCTTAAAACTGTGTGAGTTTTCCAGTCACTTCTTTCGGGGAAGTGAACTTTGGAGTTGTGAACAACGTCGCTCTCAGTGATCTGATAGTCAGTCATTCTGTCCAAAGTAGTGGTACGCCCGTTATATCAATCTGCAGCTGCCGTTAGGCGTTTTACAAAGAAGAAGATTTAAACTGTATAGATTTTCGCGTGAAATGAAGTTTTCTATGTAGTCGTTGGTTTACTTTTTGGGACTTGGGGAATCGGCTTTCTTGCCACAAACTTCTGCAATGCACGCACTCTCGGTAGCAGCGATAACACCCTTTCGTATCACATCCCGAGAGAACAATAGGGCAGACAGTAAAGTACAAACGCCATCATCGTCGAATTCACCAAAAGAAAAAAGCCAACCTGGCCAAACCCAAATTGGATAGGGCGGAAATAGAGTTCTCACATGTGACCAAATATCTAGGGGTGACACGTCTCACAATAGTTAAGGAGAAAGTCAAAAAGGTATTTGATGCTTGTCAAAGACTTCATTTTCAATCTTGGTAAATGTCCCAGAAATCTAAAAATTGGCATTTGATGCTTGTCAAAGACTTCATTTTCATTCTTGGTAAATGTCCCAGAAATTTACAAATTGGTCATTCAATACACTGGCCTGGTGGCCAAAAGGCAAAGATGTAATCTCCGGCGCCAATCTTGGTAAGTTAAACCGGCTGGTATGTGTTGCCGTCACAGGAGCCATGCACACATGTCCAACAGATGTGCTTGGAATCATAATCGACTTTGTTTCAGAATAGCTTACCAATGGGCACATATTCCAGGCTGAAACTTTCGAAATAAAAATTTGTGCCCGCGAATGTCTTCATAAATAGAAGGACTAATTGAATTGAAACACAATTTACACAGGCGATTTTGTTAAAAGCGATATTGGATCGCTTAGCAAATAGCCTCATATCAAAGCTCGTAGTACTTTCAGAAGTATACTAGAAAAAAAAAACCGTAGCAAGCTTAGCTTGTGGTAGGTTCCATGTCATGGGGGCTTTTATGGCAACGAAAAAACTGTTGATCTAGCGAAATGCATAGGCTTCAGTTTTTCTACGGTCCATCCAAGGGATACGCGGCACAGCTGCTAAGAGGGCTCCAGCTCACTGATGTATAACAAAGGTCAAAAGGCAATCCAGGAGATTTTTAGCTCCCTCTAGTGGAGTTTTGGATCGACTGCTAACCGGACACTTCAAGCTAAGGTACACTTTTTTGTTATGAGGTGGACGCAGGTTCTGTGAGCTGGCGGAGAAAACCTTAGAGAAATTGTTATGTGATTACCTTTAGACTCTTACACCTTGGAAATCGATTGTTGCCTTCATCCGAAATGTGGAACAAGATAAACTTCAAAGTGCTAAGCTCCCACTACCTAGGAGATACAACTGTAGGTTGGGTGCAAGCAACCACATAGGAAGATTTCTTTATCCTGCGAATCGGACCCTTTGTCGCCTCCTTTCTCTCTTCTGCAGAGAAAATGAAGCCACACCAACGTCATCACTATAAGCTCGTTGGCAAATAACTGTTTCCCGATTCATAGCAATTGTATGTGGATGGTCTGGCTCCGACTCTGAAAAGGAGAATGAACGGGTACAGCTAGTCCCCTCTTCTCTAGGATGCGCTCTCTCGCCTAAGCAATGAAGACTTGTGCGTTGGTTTGGCCCTCCATGAACCATGACCCTGCCACAAGTGCACGTGTATTACCACTCGCTTGGGTACCACCTCGAATATAGTAATCTCTGCCTAGATTAAGGTGCTATTAATTCATTATATAGTTTTAAAAATTAACCAAAGGTGTATGTAGTTTAGGCTTGCTACCATGTTGGTCGGTCATTCGTTAGAGCTTAAACTCATTTTCGTCCATGGCAGTTATCTAACTGTGACTGTGACTCGTGTCTATAAACGACTTACATATATGTACCAAAATCAATTTCGTTAAAATTTCCGTATTTCTCCTACTCAATTTGTGTTTCTGCCAACAATTTTGCAATTTTTTAGCTTGGTACTCAAAGCGCATGCTGTGGGTAATTCATACATACATACATACATGTGTTGTGCACACATTGGCTCGTACAAAATAATGATTATGGCTCGCGTTTATTTTGACCAGACAAAGTGTGCTACACCAACGCTTAACTCTTTGTTTTTAGCCTTTTTCTTTTGCACCAACTATATTTATCGTAAATATTGTTTTTACCATAAATGCAACTATTGCACAAGTTGCACCTACACAGCATTTGAAAAGTGGCGCGACTGGCGCAAAAATCATTTAACGGTTACTTAGCAATCGTTTCAAGTATACATAACTGTATACATAAATACATCTGTTCATACATATGTACTATATGAATATCTGTGAAGCTATGTCGTTTATTTAATTTTGTTGGAAACATAAAAACATATTTGATTTTTGGCGAGTTAATGGCACAGAGTACAGAAAACTTAGATTTATCAATACATATTTTTTTGTATGCATTAGGGATGCCCCTTTTTTTATGAATTTTTTTTATAGATATTTTTTAGATTTTTTTTAATACTTGCCATGCTTAGCCAAACCTCGCTGCTAAAATTTTTAGGTGGCAACCCTCCTCAGCATGTGCATACTTTTAATTTTGACACAAAGGCGCCTTAAAGCCTATTTTAACACAGAAAGCAGGATTATTGATTAAAATATGCACATTAGGGTGGTCCTTAAAAATATCAAGACCTAAATTTTGTATGAGACACCCTATTATTTGGTTAGAAGTACAAAGTAAGGAAAACCACAAAAAGTACAAAATTAAAATAAAGTTGGATCGACAAAATTTGGACTTGTGCTCTGACGAATTTGACATATTATTAGAACTTATTCATATAAATATATAAACTCGTTGAGTTATAGCTGGTAAACGTAAAAATTTTGTCGAATTTTGTGCGATAAAGGAAAATAAATTTTTTTCAACCCCGGTAGCGAGCCTTAAAAATTGTTTCAAATTTTTGAAAATTTCGTGGATGTTTTAATTTTATACGTATAGTGCTAATATTTAGAGGATCACCCTAATGTACTTGCATAAATATTTAGTGGCAAGCCTATTTAAAATAATCTGGGGGATGGTATTTCCAAAATCCTTTTTCTCGATACCCACAGATTGTAGAGACATTATGTAAACATTTAATTTTAAAGTTCTTATTGGCCGCGATCCTGCTTAAAATAATTTGCGCAGTACAATTTTGTAATTTACATTTTTTCATGCCCTTACTTGCAAAGTTTACATAATTACATGTGGCAACCCTACTCCAAGATGTTATGTTTATAAAAGTTTCCTTCAATAACTTTTCCTCCTTAACGATGATGCCTTTGATATTTATTTTTTGACTTAAAATATAATAATTTTTATTTCTGAAATAAGTGGCAGCACTGCAATTTTTTTTGTAATTGAAAAAATTTTCTTTCATTTAATACCCTTAGTGTAATGGCTAATTTCCTTACATACATATTTTTGGATACATTTTTTTTTAAATAGATGCCAGCGCTGTTCAAAATTGCCTAAAAAAAGAGCTGCTTGCCAACAGTAATCCCGTTAAAAGCTGGCTGCCTCCACTATTTTTTCATACTGTAATTTTAGAGCTGTTCTTTAATTAATAGGTATCAGGAATTTTTTAGGTGGCAACTCTACTTACAATTATTTGTTTAATCAACTTTTCGATATACGAGTAAATCTCTTCATGTACTCACTTGAAAAAGTTGTCATAGTTAGTTTCCTTCATTTATTTATGTAAGTATGTACATATAGAATTTAAATATGACGGTTGGCAACCCTAATACAAATTGTGTTTTACCATGATTTTCTTTAATAACTTTGCTTTATTAAGCATAATAAAGTAATTTTAAAGTTTTAGATACATATGTAGGTATGTATGTAGGTGGCAACTCTCGGAAAATTCTTTAATATTGTAATGTTACAAAATACCTTTAACTTGCTACATTTGTTGTAACATTTTACTTAACTCAAATATTTAAATTAATTTTTTTTTTAAGTTGGCAACACCCTTGAATTTCTTTGGCATTAAAATATGTCAAAATGCCCTTCATTATACTAACTATACTGTTATATTCAGTTTAAAATTTTTAATCCTAGTTTCAAAATCACAGCCCTAAAATTTTTTACAAACCCAAGGCGAAAAATTCAGAATTACTTGTTACTACTTTTTACAGTATTTGATTTAGATTATTATTTCATTATCTTTCAATTAAAATGAGGTTGTTCATACTTGCCTCGTTTATCAGGTTATGTGGCTATATTTTTTATTCGGTTAACAACAAAAAATATAACGCAATAATAATTTTTAACCAGATAACCTGATAACCAGGCAAGTGTGAACAACCTCAATATTTTAAACGTCTGGTAATTTCTTTGTATTTCCATTTAAAACAATCCACAATTTTTCTTTTTCCTTCAAACAAAAAATAAAAAAAAATATTTCAATTTCTGTATTCTATCAATTTTTTTGTCCGCTATCGAAAACGAAGTTTTATTTTCTCCTGATAGTTTTTTAAACAAAATAAATTCAGAAACGAACAACAAATCTTCGGCAGCGCCGCGCAACTTATATAGGTCCGATTCATCCAACAGCGTTACACGAGAATCCTTAAGAAGATATTCGAATGAATATTTTAAAATCAATCGCCCAAAATTTGCGCATTCAACGCGAATAAATTAACGCATGCAAAAATTTACAAACCAAATACGATTTCACAAGCAACAAAAAATCTCACAGTGTAGAATTAGATTCTCAGCATTAATCGTGAATACCTAACGTTGAGGAACCTTTAGTAGATAGAAGGTGGAACTGGTTAACTTCACAGAAGTGCGGAAGAAGTCCACAAACCAACGCTTACAACTACAAACTCAAGGTAACTGATTTGTTTTTCTTTTCAAGGATGTGCTTTTACAAGTTTTAAGTATATAAATTAAATTATAAAAGGCGCTCCATGCGCATGAAATTTCGCGACGGCCACCTTTCTTCCTCTTGCCGGGAGCAATCGTCAGTGCGCTAGACAGGTTCGCGCTTCGAAATGATTAGCTTCATTTACCGCATGCTCTTTAACAGAATTGTTGAGGAAGAGTGGCATCCATCTAGAAAAGGATAAGCAGGTCGCCGCCTCTTCTCTGTAGTCTGTTTATAAGCAAAGTGCGAGAGTAGCTGGAGAGGCGTAACCGTGACGCACTCAAAATGAGTGATAGGTTTCCTCTACACTATAATCTGATCCAAATTTCCTTCTGATGGCTAAGTGGACTCGCTTTAAATGTTAGTAAGATAAGCTCGCTAGAAAAATCATTCAAGATAATCGTTCTTCATAGGACTCTTCTCTAAATTATAGCAGTTCGCCTTGCGATTTATAATACAGTAAAGTACTTTAGCTTGGGAAACTCTTATGTAAGCCCGAAAAGAGGACAATTGCCTTATATGTATTGCAACAGAGGCTCTACCTCTCTCTTTTACTCAATGATACCGCAGCTCATTCTTTAGTGTTCTATGGAATATCCTACTGATGAAATGGGGTAAATGGGTATGGGCTTATAGGTGGCGCCACTTGGGAAGGTAGGACCAGTTCGCTGGTTGGCGGTATGATCTTGAGACAACTCTTCTGTTAATTCACCATCAATCTCAAAGTTAGGATTTAAATTGCACTGCAGTGTTAACCAGGAAGAGGTAGCTGCTATGTATTTAAATTGATTAGTTGGCTGCTCAACCGTCTGACGTTCATAAACGCGGTAACACCTATCCTGATAGACAACCGGTAATCTGACCTTGGTACATTCAAGGGGTTCCCTGATTTTCCATTCGGTTGCGTGTGATTATTTCCACCTTAGACTTATATGGTAACGAGAACATAATGATGTTCCCGGAAATTGTAGGGCAGTTGAGTTAGCTAAGAAGTATACCCTCGACGCCATAAAAAAAAAAAAATTAAGTCATTTGGTAGTATCGCTGGTTACTTGCGGATAAGTTTGTATATCTGGACGTCATGTAAGCGCAACGAACACAGGATACATACGCAATTCGAAGCTATTTCTTGTCTAAGGTGGATCGAAGACCGTATAGGGAGCTTCTTAGACTCAAAAGCCCGCAACTTTCAATTTTGGTGGGCGTTTTAACACTCACTGTCGCCACTGTTTGGAGAATAACGGCTGGAACAATTTTGTTCCTTCTGCGCTGGCTTCGAGTCTTAGATACATGAACACTCTGCAGGAGAAGAACAGCGATAGCAAGTTCTCCGTTTTCTAGGCCTTTTCTCAGAATGTGTCTTTGTGATGGGCGAGTCCGCGATGTTTTAGTCGATTGCTCTCGATGTTTTCTCTCGTAGACGAATTGCCACTCGAAAATAGTCGTGCTTAAGCTGAACTAACATATTCGCTAACAATCGACCAAATCATCTCGGCCTCGCTACTGGCCAGCGCTTGTTAAAACAACTCGATGGTTCTGTGTCGCAGCCTCTGGCAACGAATTGCCATTCGCGTTTAACATTCGATAACAATCGGTCAACACATCTCGAACTAGCTTATGGAACATGGCAACTTTACAATGTTTTTTTTAGTAAATTTTCCTTAGCCCGTATACCCAACAATCTCTCAATCCGTATAAATTTGAACTTCCGAACAATTTTTTTAACATGTGTATTAAAAATAACACTTTAATATCTGCACTTGCATTGTTATCAATTAAAAAAAATTTACTTATTACACACATACGTAAGGCTACGAAAGATATCGATTGAGTTCACTCGATATCGCCGGTGATAAGTCAGTCGACTCGAAACAATCGAAAAAACATCTCTATTGTACAGTCTGCCCGCCTGACGATTCGATTATTGACTCGATAGTAATTGTGCAATGATGGCGATTCTCTCCATCGTTTGAACATCTCGGACCCGTCCATCACTAATGTGTCTACCGAAGTTGATGTATGTATCTTTAAAATACTTTTACACAAAAACCTAAAGTTTTAGGACTTGACATACTCCATTTGCCGCCGCCTTTGAAAAGTTAAGCCAGCGTACTGCAAGTTAGGCGCTTTGTTTTTGATTCGCAATTCTCCAAGTTCTAACCTCGAGTGGAAAAATGTTAGCTTCAAGTAGAGATACTTTTGGGTTCTTCTTCATCGGCATCGAAATATGTAATATTTGCTTTTAATATTTGATGAAATATCTGCATCCATTATGTGTTACCATTAACTATGTGGGTATGTTTCAGCAAAAGTGCATATACTGGACAAAAAAGCATACAATTTCAATTTCACTTGCAAACGTATGCACAAACAAAGCGACATAAAACAAGCTTTTGACAGTAAAAGGCCAAATGCTAGACAAGACGACCCTGTAAATCTGTCTATAGTCTTATGAGCCTATTAACTAATATACATATATGTAAGCTTGTGGAAACCTATGACCTTAATGGTTGTTGTATTTTCGCTCAATTCGTCTTTCAATTCGTATGTCACACAACAACTGAAGACATTTGCAATGGGTAATTTATCAAAGTTATAAGCAAACAAAAGTCAAAATACAATTTTTAAGCACAGCCAAAAACAGAAGCGAGGAAAGTAAACACAAACAAAACAAATGTGTTTAAAGCAACAACAAAGTTAGACATAAATACGAAAAACGTAAACAAAAACGAATCCCTAATTTGGCTGTAGATACGTTGCGTAGGGTGTAACTCAATCCATATTTATGGATGTCAAAGAGGCCAACCACGCGACAGCCAGACAGCAACCAGACAGACGACCAGACAAAAGTAGCCGCAAGACACTTGTTGGAGTTTTTAAATTAAATGTATTTTGTCAGTAAAGTTGGAACAGGTTATACATTCATATTTACGACATACAACTGCTCAAAATTATACTGAATTTAGTTGGAGAGTAAGAAAGACATGTACTTATGTATGTATACTCAGAAAAAAGTCAGCTAAATATATTTCTCTCAACACATGATTTGATAACTATAACCAAATCATGTGTTGAGAGGCGCATATTTAGTTCACATAACTATAAATGCTTGGATGTCCTTAAAGAGAGTCCTTAAAGGAATGTTACAAGTATCTAAATGACGGCGAAATTAGTGCAATTATAAAAGAAATTAAATACAAATTATTGTTCAAGTTTCGAGAAAAATTTAATAAATGCGGGAGATTCTTAGAAAAAAATGAAGCATTACTAAAAATTGTGTAGCCCATTCAGGAATCTCAAATTCTTAAATTAATTTTTTTATAATATAATTAACGCAGGTACGCTGATATCGGTTATGTGAGTCAGGCTCTTCAAACCGTCATGTGGAAGGCCCAATAAGGAATTCGAAAGTTATAGCCAGCGGAACAACTACGAATGGCTTGTGGGGAATTCAAAAGAGATACTTAGCGCCTTAGCGCTTGGAGGGGTGAAGTCAATAATTTCTGTTACTTAAAAGGTTACTGCCTTAAACTTCAGTTATTGTTGTATTTTTAAGATACGAAAATTAAAATTTTCCGGTTTTAAACTGAAATTTGTAAAATTTAGCAACATTTTTCAAAAATACCCACTGTACAAATGGTCTTGATAACTATCAAAGTACTACTTGTTTTCCTTTCAACTGAATATCAAGAAAAAAGTGCATTTGAGCTTAAAAAAAAACCATAAATGAAAAAAAGTGGACACTTTAGACCGCACGGTCGTCAAGGGTTAACCCGTTTTTTTTTTTTTTTTGCAGACACGTGCGAAACCAAATGCCATTCAATAAAAAGCTCTTATTTTTTAAATCATAAACTTTTTTAGTCATTATTAATTTAAAAAAGGGGCAACATTGAGTATAGTGCATCGTGCTTCTTTTAATAATTTTGCCTTCATACTCCGTGCTATCGGAATTTACCTAAGCCCATTCATACGAGTAGGTAAATATCCACATAACACCACAACCATCGATCTATGTACGCGTATTCGCTGAAATATTTTCCCACAGCCGCCAAAGTGTGCTAAAATCTCACCTTAAGCTATGCGCTAAATAATATCTACGTAGCCGCGCATTCTTTCCTCTACTCAATATTCAATTAGCATTAATACTTAATTATGCTAATTAGTTTAAAAATTATTGTATTTGGCCCGTCCATGGCGCCGTTCGCAACGTAGGCGTTGGGTATGTATTCAAAACTGGACCGCCTTCGCCGAACTGCTGCGCCGCTTTATTTCTAAAGCACTTTATACGAAATATTTTTTTTTGTTTGCCTTTTTCTTTTTTCACGCGGTGCATGAAATTTAACGCTCATTAAATTTGAATTAATTTAAGGACGCCCAATAGGCGCTTGCAAGTGTCTACAGAGATTGAGCAGTGTGTGTTTTGCATAAAATTGCACTAAAAGAGAATCGAATAAAAAAAGGTGTTAAAGTATAATTTTACGAGTATTATATGCTTTTCGCGCTTTAAATTTGTACTAAGAAAAATTTCTATGGAATTGTTTTAAATCATAAAATAAATTGTGGTTGTTAGGATAGCAGTTATAGTACTTAGTCAACGTTAGAAGGAAGTTTACAAATTTAAAGGAGCTATCTGAGTCATGCCATAGACTGTGGTCAGTACTGCTATAAACTTTGGTCAGGACTCCATAAATATTGGACAGTAGGTGCTGACATAAACCTTGGTCAGTATTGACAGTTTGGTGAGGTAGTCCGCTCTTGCCGGTCGCAATTTTTTTCAGTGTCGACATGTATCCGTTGGGGGGCAAAAGACGTCTTTGCTCTTCCAATGGCCATCTAAGTTTCACACAGCTAATAAGACTAAAAGGAAAAATTTTTGAGACATTTTGTGCAAAATTCTGGTTTCTCGATGCTCGGCTCTATACACCAAAAATGACAGTTGAATTAAGTGCATCTAGCTCTTAAGAATAAATTTCAGAATAGATCCCGTGGCTAGGGAGTGTTTCTGCTCTTCTCTTGGCCATAGCTGTCCTATGCACCTCTTCCTTCTCCGTGATCCGGCATCATACTCCAGGCGGAGGTGCGATAATGTCTCTTTGACGGAGTTACAAAAGCGACATAGATTGATTGACCAGATCCATAGATTATGCAAGTGCCCTCTTAGCCTACAATGACCAATCAAAATACCTGCAGGAAATTTTAGCCTCCCCTTGCGGAGGTTTATGAGTATCTCTTTGACTTATAGCCTCCTAGTAAGCTAGCTGCCCAGGCCCAGGCTGCAATCAAAGTTTTGAGCGGAACAGACTTCACCTCACTTGGGTTTCTGGTCATAGGAACATAGAGGTAAACTGCATGCCAGATGAACTTGCGATTTTCCACTTGCAATCTGCTCCTAAGTGAATTGTATACAAACAAGCTGAAGAAAGATGCGGCTCAAAGTACGACTTGTTGAGTTTCTAGGCAGGCGTGGCCTAAATGGGATCAGAAGCGGTCACGAAGGGTATACTCTCTTAGAAGAGAGGATATATCTAACGTTGTGATGGCTCTAACCGGGCACTATCTAATTGCTAATGAGGACCTATGAGAATTTGACCTTGAAGAATGAGGGAGCCATAATGCCTCCTAACTATCACTTGATATAAGGATCGTTTTACTTGGATAATTTTTAACTAAGGTTTATCTCTCCACACAGACTAATGGCATAGACTTCAGCTTGGCAGATTCTAGCTTCCCAAGGGCTGAGAAAGTTTCAGCCTAGTGCCATATACCCACACGGGTGAAGTTTGGAGCCCAGGATAAGTTCCAGATCTTTATCTTCTGTGGCGATGCCGACCGTAAGAATTCTTTTCTAGGTAAAAGGAACAATGACTCAGGGTTGCCACTGACTAAAAAGATATTTACCAGCCATTTGAAAAAAAAATTACCAAATCTGAAAAAAATCGACCAATAACTTTTTTATAGCTTTTTTTATTAAAAACTATAGTTTTGTT